CGCAGCATCGCTTCATTTCGAGCAATATAATTTCATTTGAAGCAAAGGCTTGTTTCAATTGACGCAATCAATAACTCGAAAACTGCTTCCTTCGTTTTTTCCACATTCACTTCAATTCGGAGCTCAGTGGACTTGTCACGACCTGACGACGCAGGCATCAAAATATAGTATCCGGATAGTATTCGCACGATATCGGTTGCCGATAGGGATGACATCCGGATTATGTGTAGTAATAGTATATTATTTTATATTAAATGAAAATTAAATTGACGAGGCCATTCTGAAGTCCAAGATGGCAGTCATTGGATCCAGGGAAAGTCTCAAATACCCTACAATATGGGTATTTTCGGAACGGAGACAACGCGTGGCTGCCAAAAATCGATATCAGATACCACTTTGGAATCCAATATGGCAGCCATCAGGGTTCAGAAAGTGTCAAATACCCTACAATATGGGTATTTTCGGAATGGGGACAACGTGTGGATGCCGAAAATCGATATCCGATGCCATTTTGGAATCCAATATGGCGGCCATCGGGTTTCACAAAAAGTGACATATACCCTAAGATCTGGGTATTTTCGGAACGAGGACGACGCGTAGATGCTGAAAATCGATGCTCGATGCCATTTGTAGGCTATTTGACACTTCTTCTGAAATCGGAAGCCACCATCTTGAATTTCAAGATGGCGTCGGATATCGATTTCTGGCTTCTAGATGTCAGCCCGATTCCAAAAAAAACCCACATTGATCGGTATTTGACAGTATTTCAAAGTTTTTTTTTCTGAACCAAAGCCAGCATCATGGATTTAAAGACGGTGTAACATCAATTTTCGGCATCTACGTATTATCCCCATTCTGAAAATAAACATATTTTAGGATGTTTGACACTTTTCCGCAAATCGGAAGCCGTCATCTTGGATTACAAAATAGCATCGGATATCGCTTTCCGGCTTCTAGACGTTACACTGATTCTAAAAGAACGTTTGTATGGGTATTTGATAGAATTTACAACTTTTTCTCAAACCGTAAGCCACCATCATGGATTTCAAAATGACGTCGGGTATTGATTTCCAATCTCCAGACGTCACCCCGAATCCAAAAATACCCATATTGATGGGACGGCATCAGCATTTCCCATTTTTTCTGAAATAGGAAGCCGCCATATTGGAATTCAAAATGGCGTCGGATATCGATTTCCGGCCTCTTGACTCCATCCCGATTCCAATGGGGTATTGGGGTATTTGACAGCATTTCCCACTTAATCTGAAATCGGAAGCCGCCATCATGGATTTCGAAATGACGTCGCATATCAATTTTCGATATGTAAACTTCATACCGATTACAAAAACACTAATATTGATGTATATTTGACTGTATTTCCACTTTTTCGTAAATCGGAAGCCGCCATCTTCGATTTCAAAATGGCGTCAGATATCGATTTTCATCCTCTAGACATCATCCCGATTCCACAAATACCTTTATTGATAAGTCCCCCAGTCATCCCCACAGCATTTCCCACTTTTTCTTAAACTGGAAGCCGCCATCTTGGATTTCAAAATGGCGTCGCATATCATTTTTCGATCTCTAGACGTCACCTCGATTCAAAAAATACACATATTGATGGGTAAAGAAACCTATAAATTTGACATCCACGTGCACAGATCTATGCGCATACGCTTAAATGAACCCAGTGAACAATCAACAAAAGTCATAAAAACTGCGCGAATTTAGATCGAACAGCTTCGCTTCAATGAAAAAGTAAGTTCATTTGACAGTGAAAGAAGAAATGAGCACGAGTCAAGCCCAAAACAAACAGCATGAAAACTGATCGAAAGTGGTTCTGTTGATGTTGACGGGGATCTGCTCGAAGAGAAGATAGAATGACTTTCAATTGAAAGTGATGGTTTATACGACAAACACAACAAGAAACAGTTGTGTCCTCAGGTTATTAACGAAAGAGAAACTCGACGAAGAGAATCGATCAATGTTACTTAGAACCATAAGTAACCATACAATGTTAAGCTTTGATTTTCGTATTAGTCAAGAAACAGTGCTGCCATTTATTTGGTCAGGAACTCTGTTTAAGTTTTAAAATAGGAAAAAGAGTTTTGATTTTCCAAAACCCAAATTCAATTATTCCACTTAATTCTTCGTACACATACGATCATGCTCCAGGGAAAAAAAAGTACCGCTATCTTCGCAACTGCTGTGAAATAAATATATACACTCTAGGACTGCATGTTGATTTTTCTCCATTTCTCTGTTTTCCATTTTTCTTGTTACATAAAAAAAATATGCGACACCTTCAACTACCACCACCACCACCACCACTACCGCCAACCACAACCACAACCACCACCGCAAATGCTACTACAATATTATTTAATAACAATCCACTGACTATCACCAACCAACCAACCAACCACCACTGCCATACGTATTTTCGTGTCAATATTGCAGCAAGTAAAATCCATCCAGTTACTGCCAGTTGTTAGAAGAAAACACCCTACAATAAACAAAAAAAAAATCGTCACCCGAAACCCAAAACAACAAAGAAAAGTTTAAGAACCAATACATTTAGGAGTGAAGACCGTCTCTCTCGCCCGATAGGGGCCCAATTTATGTATGTTTAATTCTATTTTGTAAAATCTCCGATCAACAAAACTGATCAACTTCAAAATACATCAATCGAATCACAAAAAGATGAAGATGAACGAAAGCAAGCTCAACTTGAAAACACCCTTCTCCCCTTTGTTTGGCAACACTGCAAAATGTCACATTGAGCGCGCACACACACACAACAACAACAACAACAACACCAACAGCAACGATCATGACGCGACAAACGCCGTTTGCCGTTCATAGGAAGTGAGGTTGATTTTTCTCTCTAGTAGTTTGCTTGCTTGACATAAATACCCTAAGCCTAAGAAGATGAAGAGCTTTTGTTGGTTTGATATAGGAGTGAGATTTCGTGAAACGTCTTTGTAAAATTTAGCAACACACTCATACATACATACATACAATACATACATAAAGCAAATACATTATAGGGAAAAGTTGGGCGAAACGGAATCGAATTCAGTTTTGCAAATATTTTCTTACTCGTTTTTGTCATAAACTATTAATGGCAGTAGTGTTCAAACGAAGGCTAAGTTTGGTAATTTTGAATGATGAAAAGGATTGTGCTACTTTTAAAAACTAGTGTTAAACTATATTGAAATCAAGCAGAGGTTTAGTTTGTAGGAAGCTTTCTGATTTGCGTAAATTAAACGGATTTTTTTGACGAAATTGCCCTTATGTGTAAAACTAAAACTACAGGAAAAAAAACAGAATTTGAATAAAGTCGATTTTCAGTAAACCATTTGTGACTAATTTCATTCGTTTTGTACAAAACCAACCGTCACAAGAACAGAAGGATTTTGAATATTTTTGTGAGTTTCGGGGAATATATAACGCGTCAGAATTGAAAGGAAAAAATTAAAACACACTTGTCAAGGTACGGCACAGTTTTTACACGAAAATCACAAACTGTTCACATTTGTCTGAAAAAAGAAATGCACGCTTTCGAATACAACGGCAGTTAACATGATGCTCGAAAACACAAAAACATTCAAAAACCTTACTCGCCATCTTGTTGTGTATGACTCCATCCAAGTAACCCTTGACAGCATACGTGACAATCGTCCAGAGAAAAAGAAAAAGTGGTGTCCTGTGTATTCAAAACTCCCAGAGCGATTTTATGTGTGTGAACAAACAAAAAATACACTGGACCATGTCTGAAGGCTTGATGTGTGTTGAAAACGATGTAAACAACCACCAAATTGAACCAAACAAAAAATACGTGTAAGCAAAGCAAGCCACAACCCGAAACGTCTGGCGTCTCGTTTCTCCCGTCTCGTGTACGTGTATTTTGACATTTGATCGGTGAGATATTTTGTTCCTTGATGTTTTTTTTTTCGTGTTTTAATTTGTTGTAACCTAATGTCTCCTCGAGAGCGCTGTGTTAGTTTTTTTTTTGTAACCCCCTCCACTCTCCGAACAGAAAGCCCCCTTTTGACAGGTGACCTACCGAGTTTGTGTTTTTGTTTGTTTTTGTGTCTTACCAACTGCAAAAAGGGTTTTTTTTTTCTTTCGCTTACGCTTTCACCTCACAACTTCACACACAGCATGCACCCCCACCACTCACCATCGCTAACTGTCACGTTGACATTTCTCGTTTCCACTAACCATCCGATCTGTCATTCCCCTCAACTTCCTTCGATTTCCTCCCGTAACCTGACATACTACGATGGTTTCGGGAAACTTTCTCTCTCTCTCTCTTTCTCTAGATCCCCCACTTCAACATTTCTTTTGTAATTCTATCCTAGAAGGGATAAGGAAAGTGCCCTGGAGTCGATATTTGCATTTCAAACAATTACATTTTACGAAACCACATTTATGGAAAACCAAATTTATCGAAGAAAAAAAAAATGACGCTAGCGCCATTCGTGAAAGAAACCAAAACGGGGGACTTGTCCTTGTCCCGAGACTAAATTAAGTACGCCAACAGAAAAAAATATTAAACACTCATTCTCGAAACCGAAGCTTGCGTGGCCAAACTGATAACTTAACTCACTTTTGTACTTAATTTCTTCTCCGTTGTTCTCTCTCTCCTACTCTCTATCAAAAATAAAAGCTGATATTTTTTGTAGCTACGTAGAGCCAATTGAGACACACACACAACTGTCAATAAAAAGAACGACCGAAATTCACTAATTCTCTCTTTCTTTTTTCTTTGTTTCGTTTTTATATTATCTCATTCTCTTCACCATCCGTTCGCACTTCCGTCACTGACACGCGCACGCACACCCACACCCACATAAACAAAACAACAACCGTACCGACAATCGATGATGCGGGCCGAACCCCATGTTACACAAAACACATGAACACTTGTCCCGTTCCTTTCGAACAACCAAACAAACCGAAACAAAACAATTCAATCCGACCACCGCAAACAGAACTAACGGGCACGTTGAGCCGAAACCGATAACAAAAGCACCCGAAGGAGAAGGTTGCCCTCGTTGTGGTGGATTCGTTTACATGGCCGAGCAAATGTTGGCACGTGGAAGAGTGAGTTGACTGTTTTCTTTTCTCGTTCTCTTTTTACCATAATATATAGTGAATGCCTTTTTTATCGTAGTTAAGTTTAATCTAATAGTTAGCTTTGCTTTTACTAGACTTATTTTTTTTTAATTTCCAGCGCTCAATAATAACCCGCTTTTTTATATTGAATTTCAATGTGAAAATACATTCATGAACTTCTGATGACAATTGTATGACAATTTGGCTGTTCAGAACATCATATTTACAATGTAATATGATGTTATATTTTCCTAAGTAAGACTCCGACATCATCCACGCCGTTGAAAAATCACTTAAATTTGAGTAGGATTTGCCTCATTTTTGCAAGAACTGAACTTACTCAAATTGAAAATAAATTGTTCTTAAAAAAATTTAAACAGTGATCAAATTTGAGTGAACGAAAAGAAGTGAGTAATATTTAAATACAATTTTGAATAAATCCAGCTGTTGCGAAAATGAGAGCAACTTCAGGACGCGATGCTTCAAGATTTCTGCGCGATATTTTATAAAAATCATCATCGCTGGCGAGATTATTTCACAATCTTTCAAAATCCAAGACAAAATCCTCCAAAGAACCGTGATGGGATTTTCTGGAATAATCGTAGACGGAATTTTCTCAAAATCCTTGAATCCTTCAGAATCCTGCACAGGGTTCTCTCATAATCACAGATGAGATACTCTCAGAATCCTGGACGGGATTTTCTTAGAAACCAGGCAGGATTTTTCTCAAAATCCCAGATGCAATTCTTTCGGAATCCTACATGGGACTGTCTCGGCCAAATCCCCCAACGAACCGTGGTGGGATTTTCTGGAATAATCGTGGACGGAATTTTCTCAGAGTCCTTGTATGTAATACCTTCAGAATCCTGCACAGGGTTCTCTCATAATCACAGATGAGATACTTTCAGAATCCTGGACGGGATTTTCTTAGAAACCAGGCGAGATTTTTCACAAAATCCCAGATGAAATTCATTCAGAATTCTACATGGGACTGTCTCAAAATTCACGTTGAGATTATCTCAAAATTCTGACGTATTCGTCGATGGAATTATCTCAAAATCCTTGACGTGATTCCCAGAATTTCCGACATGCTTCACTAAAAATATCCTAGATTTTCTCAAAATCTCCGCAATTCTCTCAGAATCCTCGACTGTTTCTCAAGGTATTTCAGAATTCAACAGAGGATTACCTTAAAATCCTTGACGGGATTCTCCTTTTCTCAGAACCTTTAATGAGATTCTTTCAGAATCCTACGCGGAATTGGCTCAAAACTACAGATTGGATTATCTCAGAATCCCCGACGGGATCTTCTCAACATCCCAGATGGGATTCTCTCAGAATCAAGACAGAATCTTCTCGAAATCCCAGATGCAATACTCTCAAAATTCATGACGTGATTCTTTCAGAATCTTGGACAGGGGTTTCTCTTAGAATCGTAGACAAGATTCCTCCAGAATCCTACACGTGATTCCCTCAGAATCCTTCTAGAATTCTCGATGCGAAACTCTCAACGAATCTAAGACTATTTTTTTCAGAATCTCAGATGCAATTCTCTAAGAATCATAAATGGAATAGTCTCAGAATTCTTGTCAAAAATTGCTAAGAATTCTCGACAAATTCACCTGAACTCCTCGTCGGAACTCTTTTAAAATCTTCTCAGCATTCTTAAAGTGCTTCTTACAAAATCCTCGGCGGGGAATTACCTTAGAAACCTAGACGGTATTCTCTCAGAATCTGACACGTGATTCTCTCAGAATCCTCGTAGAAATCATCCCAGGTTCCCCTGAAATAATCCTAGACGGAACCATTGATGTGATTCCTTCAGAATCCTACACGGAATTGCTTCAAAACCACAGATGGGATTGATTCTCTCATAATCCCAGATGCAATTCTCTCAGAATTCTTAACGTGATTCGATCAGAATCCTCGACCGGGACTTCTCTTACAATCCTAGACGAAGTTCACTCAGAATCCTAGACGTGATTCTCTCAGAATCCTACACGTGATTCCCTCAGAATCCTTCCAAAATTTATAACTCGGTTCTCTCAAAGAATCCTAGACGGAATTTTCTCAGAATCTCTGCAATTCTCTCGACATGACATGCGACATGCGACAACTCCCGACGAAATTCTTTCAGAATCCTCTCAGCATTCTGGAAGCACTTCTTCTTCTTCTTCGAATTCCCTAAGAAACCAAGACGGGAGTCTCTCAGAATCTGACACGAGATTCTCTCCAAGAATCCAAGACGAAATCTCCTCAGGATCTCCTGAAAGAATCCTTGGCGGATTTTTTTCAGAACCCTTGATGTGATTCTGTCACAATCCTAAGCGAAATTGTCTCAAAACCACATATGGGATTCTCTCAAAATCCAGACGGGATCTTCTCAAAATCCCATATGCAATCCTCTCAAAATTAACGCGATTCTTGCAGAATCCTCGATGGGGGTTTCTCTCAGAATCCAAGACGAGATTCACTCAGAATCCTAGACGAGATTCTCAAAGAATCCTATACGCGATTGCCTCATAGCCCTTCTTGAATTCCCGACGCGATTCTCGCAAAGGGTCTTAGACCGAATTTTCTAAGAATCTCCAATGCATTTCTCTTAGAATCATAAATGGAATAATCTAAGAATTCTCGTCAAAATTTTCTCAAAATGCTCAACAGATTAGCCTTAAATCACCGTCGGAATTCTTTCAAAATCCTCGCTGCATTCTTGAAGCGCTTCGATCAGAATCTTCGACGGGGAATTATCTTAGAAATCTAGATGGGATTCCCTATGAATCCTACCTGGATTTTTTTCAGAATCCTCGTCGAAATCCTTCAATAATCCCCACCGGGACTTTCTGAACGAATCCTAGACGGAATTTTCTCAGAACCCTTGATGGGATTCTTTCAGAATCCTACGCGGAGCTGTAATCTGCTCATAATCCCAGATATCATTATCTCAAAACCCTACAAGTGATTCCCTTTGAAATTTTCTCAGAGTTTAGACGATATCCATATCAAAGACCCAAGCGCAGTGACAGCGGAAGCGGAAAAGCCCGATCTGAGTAAGCCTACTTGTCGGATTGAAAACTGGTTAAAGCCAAATCGACTTCGGTTAGGCATCTTAATGTCATTTGTGACAACTGTCAAACTTTCCGTTTCCGTTCCGCTTCCGTCCATATTGCGCTTGGGCCTTAAGAGTCATAAAAAGTCTCTTTCAGAAACCTCGACGGGGGTTACTCTGCACATCTCTCAGAATCACAAATGGGCTCGTTTCGGAATTCCCGTCAAAATTTTCTCAGAATCCTCGACAGATCCTCCTGAAATCCCCGACGGAATTCTCTCAGCATTCTTGAAATGATTCTTTCATAATCCTTGACGGGGATTATCTTAGAATCCTCAGAATTCTCGACGAAAACCTCCCAGGATCCTCGATGGCATTCTTTGAAAGAATCACATCAACGCGGGATTGTCTCAAAACCACAGATGGAATTCACTCAGCATCCTAGAAGGGAACATCTCTGAATTCAGACGGAATCTTCTATTAATCCCATATACAATTCTCTCGTAAATCGTGAGGGATTCAAAATACCCATTAAAATTCTCAAAGTTCTGACACCCCGATTTTCTTGATGGAATTCTCTCAGAATCTTCCTCCAGAATCCTCGATGGGATTTTCTCTAAGAATCCAAGACGTGATTCTCTCAGAATTTTGGACATGATTCTGTCAGAATCCTCAATGGATTCCTTCTAAAACTCCCGACGCTGTTTTTCAAAGAATCCTAGACGGAATTTTATCAGAATCTCAGATGCAATCCTCTAAGAATCATGAATAGGATGGAATTCCCGTCAAAATTGTCTCAGAATCCTTGAATACTTCTCAGCATTCTTGAAGCAATTATTTCAGAATCCTTGACGGGGGATTATCTTAAAATCCTAGACTGGATTCTCTCAGAATCCTACACGGGATGAAATTCTCTCAGAATCATCTTTCAGAAGCCTCGATGGGCGTTTTTCTAAGAATCGTGCTTCTATCAGAATTCTAGCTGTGATTCTTGTAGAATCCTCAACGAAATCCTTCTAGAATTTCTGACGGGATTCGCTCAAAGAATCCTAGACGGAATTCTCGGAAGTCTCCAGAGAATTTCTCAGCATTTTCGATGCAATTCTTTCAGAATCACAAATGGGATGGTCTCAGGATTTTCATCAATTTTTTTTCAGAATCCTCGACAGCTTCTCCTGAACTCTCCGACGGGATTCTGTCAGCGTTTTTGAAGCAATTCTTCCAGAATCCAACACGGAATACTTTCAGCAAATTCTACACAAGATTTTCTCAGAATCCTTGATTAAATTCTCCTCTGAAAGAAACCCTAGATGAAATTTTCTAAAACCCTCGATGTGATTCATTCCTACACGGTAATGTCGGTAATGAAACCACAATAGGGATTTTCTCGAAATCCAGACGGAATATTTTAATAATACCAGATAAAATACTCACATCTTCCTACACATGATTGTCTCAAAATTCCCGTCGAAATTATTTCAGAGTTCCACTGTATTTTTTCGTCACACTCAATGGAATTCTCACAGAATCCTTGACGTGATTAAATCAGAATTCTCGAAGAAGGTTTCTCTCAGAATCATTGACAAGATTCCCTCAGAATCCTAGAAGGGATTCTCTCAGAACTATACTCGTAATTCTCTCAGAATTCGAATTCCTAGAAAGACGAAATTTTCTCAGAATCTCGGATGCAATTCTCCCAAAATCATAAATGGAATAGTCGATTTTTCCAGAACCTTCAACGGGGGATTATCTTAGAATCCTTAGAATCATAATTCTATATAAGATTCCCTAAGAATCCTAGAAGAGATTCACTCATAATTATAGACGTGATTATATCAGAATCCCCAACGGAATCCTTCTTGAATTCCTGACGCGGTTCTGACAAAGAATCCTAGACAGAATTTTCTCAGAATCTCCAATGCAATTCTCTCAGAATCACAAATGGGCTGATCTCTGAATTACCATCAAATTTTTCTCAGAATCCTCGACAGATTGTCCTGAAATACCCGACGGAATTCTCTCAGCATTCTTGAAACGATTTTGTTAGAATCCCATTCGGGATACTATTATAATTCTAAACAAGAATCTCTCAAAATCATCGATGAAATCTTCCCAGGATCCCCGAAGGGATTCTCTGAAAAAAAACCTTAGATGAAATTTTCTACCAGCCATCGATGTGATTCTTTCAGAATCCCATGAGTGATTGTATCATAACCACAGATGGTATTATCGCAAAATCCAGACCCAATATTCTAATAAACCTAGATAAACTTATCTAATAACCCTACACTCTCTGAAAACGCCCGTCGAAATTGTCTCAAAGATCCGCCGTATTTTTCGTTATCCTAGACTGGATTCTCTCAGAATCCTAAACAGGATTCTATCAAAATTCTTGATTATCTAGTAATCCCAGATGCAATTCTCACAAAATCCTTGACGTGATTCGATCAGAATCCTCGACCGGAATTTCTCTTACAATCCTAGACGAAGTTCACTCAGAATCCTAGACGTGATTCTCTCAGAATCCTAGACGTGATTCTCTCAGATTTCTACACGTGATTCCCCCGGAATCCTTCCAAAATTTCTAACTCGGTTTTCTCAAAGAATCCTAGACGAATCTCTCGAAATCATAAATGTGATGGTCTCCGAGCTCCAGTCATTTGTTTTTGTAGAATCCTCGACAGATACTCCTGAAATTCCCGACGGGATTCTTTCAGAATCCTCTCAGCATTCTGAAAGCGCTTTTTTCAAATTTCCTCGACGGGGAATTATCGTAGAAACCAAGACGGGAGTCTCTCAGAATCTGACACGAGATTCTCTCAGAATCTGACACGAGATTCTCTCAGAATCTGACACGAGATTCTCTCAGAATCTGACACGAGATTCTCTCAGAATCATCGACGAAAAGCTCCCAGAAACCCCGACGGGATTCTCAGACAGAATCCTTGATGCGATTCTTTCAGAATCCTACGCGGGATTGTCTCAAAACCACATATGGGATACTCTACGAATAAAGACGGGATTCTCTCTACTCGTGATTGTCTCACAATTCCATTTGAAATTTTGTCGATATCCTAAATGAAATTAATTCAGAATAGGGATTTTTCTAAGATTTCTCTCAAAATCCTCAACGGAATCCACCCAGAATTCAGAACGCGGTTCACTCCAATAATTCGAGATGAAATTTTCCCAGGATCTATATTCTATAATTCTGTCAGAATCATAGAAGGGATGATCTCAAAATTCCTGTCAAAATTTATTTGAATTTGAATTTGAAGAATTTGAATTATTGTCAAAATACTCGAACGATTTTGCTGAAAGCCCCAACGGAATTTTCTGAGAATACTTGACGCGATTCTTTCAGAATCCTCGACGAAAGATAATCCTAGACAAGATTCTATCCAAACCCTCGACGTAATTCTATCTGAATTCTCGATAAAATTCTCTAAAAAATCCTAGAAATCGGCTCAATTGCTATTATGTGTTTAAGGGCTGTGAAAAATGTTGCCATTATACAACGAAGTCGGCGAAACATAGAAAGTCTGAAATCAGCTATCAAGCCTGCTAAAACCATCATGATGACAATTGGGTTCTTTAATTTTGAAAAATATATTGGTTTTTATATATCATCTGAAAGAGCTTTGTTTTCTGAGCACAGCGATATTTTTCTCGATTTTTAAACCAAGATTTAAAGCAAAATAATAACTTTACTGTTTGACACAAAACTGACAAAATGACAGCTCGCTCCCATACAAAGTGACACCGAGGGGCGCTAATAAGGTGATTTTTGCAAATGTAATCGTTCTTATTTAAAATAGTTCCAGTGTACCAAAATTGATGACATTTTGGGTTTGGGTTCCATTTTTAATGCAGATTACGAATATGCATTTACCTCAATACCATTAAAGAACCCAATTTCATATAATCGTTGAAATGCGGGCCAATCATAGAGCATCCATTTGGTCGAGCTTAACGTTGGATTTCGTTGCCCGTTTGACGTATGAAATGCATCTCAGTTAGCGAGCGCCATTCGCTTCAGATTGGCAAAAGTTCTCCTCATTTTGTGCGAAACAATAAAGGAAAACATCGACGAGAGCTTTTTGCAATCTTAAGGAATGTCTCAGAGAAAACCATTTTTTCAATGTTTATTTACTCAGCATTCAGCAATAATCGAACAGTATGTTTTATTTTGCAAAAATCCTTTACGTCTATCCTGAAAGTCTCTCTCTGGACAATCTTAGATCTATTCAAACGAATTAGGCTGCAAATTTACATTGTCCATTGGGGCCTCACTAGAGAGTTCAACAACTCGTTGTTCCGTTTGACATCGGCTACATCTAGATGTGCGCAGAATTTGCTTACGAGCGTGCTTTAAATCGCGTGCTCATGGGCAAAGCACAACACGGCACACATTTTGCGCGCATTCTTTCATCTCTCATTCGTAGAAACAAGATTGTGCAACGGACTTGTATAGACCTGATATGGAGTCTGTTTCGGATAGCCCACGAATGACCTTTAAGGTAACTCCTATGAAATTAGTATAACTTCAAAAACAATTTAAAAATTTTAAAAAAATATTTAGAGAGAATTTCCAAGCTAAGTAGCAAACCAGTCTATCCCATCGTTTCTGAATGTAATTTCACAATCAAATTTTATCCCGCATAGAAATCGCTTATTTACCGCCCTGCCTTCGATCCGCATCTAATCGCTTTATTTTGCTGCACTCTAACCGCTTAACCCGCAGGGCTACCACCGACGCTGCTTCAAGTGCCAAGTTTGCAACCGCACCCTCGACTCCACGATTCACTGCGATGGTCCAGATAAAGAAATCTATTGCCGAGGTACCAAAATTAAAAAAAAAAAACCCGTGTAGTGGTAGTAGAACTGTGATGTAGTTGTTGGGTTAAGCTTACCAACCGCAAGCCAACTGTACTAGCCGCATTCTTAACGTCACTAATCCAAACGTGGCACCGGAAAGTCACGGTGTGTGTGTATGTCTGTATCCATGATCCATGTTTTGTGCTATGTCTTCTTTCCGCAGGCCTACCATAAGGGATGCTTCAAGTGCGGCGAATGCAAGAAGGGCCTCGACTCGGTAAACTGCTGCGAGGGTCCGGATCGTGAAATCTACTGCCGAGGTTTGTTCGTTTGCTCTAAGTGTTGTTTTCCGTTACATGTTAAACGTTCCATGTGTTACAGTTTGCTACGGCAAGAAGTTCGGTCCCAAAGGGTACGGCTACGGTCAAGGCGGTGGAGCCCTGCAGACCGACGGCAGCGACATGAATAGGTAGGTTTAGGGTTTTTGAAACTTACACGATGTCCGGTACTGTCACTAACTGCTACGTAGTCTGTGTGTCGATGTCGATGAATCGATGCCAATTTTCAAGGTTATTTATTTGCGCAGGATGCTACGCCAGTAGATTCGGTTCACGCGGGTACGGCCACTCGGGTATTTCCTTCCTCGGGTTGATGTGTGACGCTAGGGACCTAGAATTTCAGAGGTACAGTTTCCGTTATATCGTCTCCGTGTCGGCTAGTGACTACCAGCATCCTTGTAATTGTTAAACTTCAAGATTTCGCAGATAGATTAACGAACCTTCTTTGCGATTCTCAACAGTGAATTCACACCGAAGCCATCGTCCGCCGATACGTCGGCCATCAAGGCTTTGCCCGGACACGGTTGCCCACGCTGCGGTGGTGTAGTCTTCGCTGCCGAAATGGTCCTGTCCAAGGGTCGTGAATGGCATCGCAAGTGCTACAAGTGCCATGACTGCACCAAGACGCTGGACTCGATCATCGCTTGCGACGGTCCGGATAACGACGTGTACTGCAAGACCTGCTACGGCAAGAATTGGGGACCCCATGGTTATGGATTCGCATGCGGATCCGGTTTCCTGCAGACCGATTGCATGTCGTAAGTTCGATGTTCAGGGTTTAGGAATGGGTTATCTCAAAAGTGTTGTTATCGTTGCAGAGAGGAGCAGATGGCCTCTCAGAAGCCAATGGTACCGAACGATACGACCAGCATCAAGGCTCCAGCCGGTCAGGGTTGTCCACGTTGCGGTGGAATGGTATTCGCTGCCGAACAGCAGCTAGCCAAGGGTAGCATGTGGCACAAGAAGTGCTTCAACTGTAGCGAGTGCCATCGGCCGCTGGATTCGATGCTGGCCTGCGATGGACCGGATAAGGAAATCCACTGCCGTGCCTGCTACGGAAAGCTGTTTGGACCCAAGGGATTCGGATTCGGACACTCGCCCACCCTGGTGTCGACCGAAGTGCAGGCTGCTCCGGTCTAGTAAGCTCCTCCCACTCTCCTCTATCCACCACTGATCACTAAGAAGATTTTCCTCCTCCTCCAATTCCAGTACCGAGTTCAACCCGACGACCGGCATAAAGGCCAAGGACGGCAAGGGCTGCCGGCGCTGCGGATGCACCGTATACGAGGCCGAGAAGATGCTCAGCAAGAACCTGATTTGGCACAAGCGATGCTTCAGCTGTTTCGACTGCCGAAAATCGCTGGACTCGACCAACCTCAACGACGGACCAAACGGAGAGATCTACTGCAAAGGCTGCTACGGCCGAAACTACGGTCCACGTGGCGTCGGTTTCGGTATTGGAGCCGGTGCACTAACGATGGTATAAACCACAACAAATCACTCACCCGTCAGATAGATTCGTTGATTTTCTTTTTTATTTTAACTATTTAAATTATGTGTATTTCTCGAGCTTCCTTCCTCGGAAGCTTTCAGACTTGATCGCCGATATTCCCTTTAAACCCTTTTTTGACGTGTATAGTAAGAGCTCTGACCAACCAACCAATGCGTAAGATGTAGAGAAGAGCTTTGCTGCTCACCCAAAAAAAAAAAAAAAGATTCTCCAACCCGCCATTACGAAACTAACCTCTACCATCCAGAAAAAAATCCTACTACGTTCAAACGCCTTAAACAATAGGGAAAAAAATGAGCAGTTCAAAGCGTCCAGATTTAGTGATTTACAATTGCGAACGACCAGGCCTCAGAACCTGTGATCACCGGATTGATAACCAAACAAAACAAGAATCTCTCATATCAAACAGAACAGCAACCAAGGCTGTCAAACACAAACGTCATATCAGCCATTTTGTCCATACACTCGAAACTATATTTAATCATGTGCGCTGTAGAAATCTATCTCACCTCATCCCCAGAAAGCCAAAATTTAAACCGAATTCCAAATAATTGTTTTTTTTTTTTATGATGTAGCGTTAGTAGAGAGAGGAATATTTGCGCTTTGATGAATGGAAAGAAGCAGTCCGCCCCGCTTTCGATGAAAACTGGAACTTTTATTTTATACTGCTCTAACGCCAAAACAAAACAGCACAAACTTAGTAGGCTTTAGATAGATAGTTGAATGAATTGAAGAAATGCAAGAATAACGATCGAATACAACACTGTAACGCAACTGTGCTTTACCGTGCGGCTTTTCCTTCTCGATTTTTATACAAAAGGGGAAAAGTTAAAACAAGGTGACGAAACGGCGAAAGGAAAGCACCTCTTCCCCCTACCCCCGTTTTTTTTTAAATATCACATTTGATTATCATCATTACTGTAATAGTCTGTTTTTTATTTGCTAATTAATAATAAAAAAAAACATATACAACGCGCTAGGTTAGGTATTACTTACGTAACGATGCTACTTATGTAAAGTCAAACACACAAAAAAAAAGATATTTATTCAATAAAGAGAAACGCTAAAACCAAACGCGTTCACGGTCGTTTGTTTTGGCGAACATGAAAGAAAACTTCAAATTTTATAATTCTCCCGCAAATTCAGATCGCAACCATATTTGTTCAAATTTGGCACAGTTTTTTGGGGATCTCAATACAAATCGAAAGAGCATACATACATACATTCATTTGTACAACATCACATTTAAGATAAGACATAATCAACAATAGTACGCCACAATACTCGGTTTGCGGCTGCCGCTCTCCATCCTCGGTCATGCCCAATGCTCGCTAGATCACGCTCTACCTGGTCCGCCCATCGTGCTCTCTGCGCTCCACGCCTTCTTGCCTTCTTCCGGATCAGTAGCGAACACCAACTTTACAGGGTTCTTGCAACATGCCCTGCCCACCGCATCCTTCCGGCTTTGGCCGCCTTCTGGATACTGGGTTCGCCGTAGAGTGCAGCGAGATTGTGGTTCATTCTTCGCCGCCACTCACCGTTCTCCTGAACACCGCCGAAGATCGTCCTTAGCACACGTCGCTCGAAAACTCCGAGTGCTTGCAGGTCCTCCTCGAGCATAGTCCATGTCTCGTGTCCATAGAGGACCACCAGTCTTATTAGCGTTCTGTACATGGTACATTTGGTGCCGGGGTGAATCTTTTTTTACCGTAGTTTCTTCTGGAGCCCGTAGTAAGCACGACTTCCACTGATGATGCGCCTTCGTATTTCACGACTCACATTGTAGTCAGCCGTCGGTAAGGATCCAAGGTAAACGAATTCCTCCACTACCTCGAAAGTATCCCCGTCTATCGTGACGTTACTTCCTAGACGAATCCTGTCATGTTCGGTTCCGCCTACTAGCATGTACTTTGTTTTTGACGCACTCACCACCAGTCCGACCTTTGCTGCTTCGTGTTTCAGGTGGGTGTATAGTTCTGCCACCGTTCCGAATGTTCTTGCGATAATGTCCATGTCGTCCGCAAAGCACACAAATTGACCGAATTTCGTGAAAATCGTACCCCGGCTCGTAGCATTACACCTTCTAGAGCGATGTTGAAGTGTAGGCATGAGAGTCCGTCACCTTGTCGCAGTCTCCGGCGAGATTCGAATGAACTGGATAGTTCACCCGAAACCCTTACGCAGTTTTGCACACCGTCCATCGTTGCTTTGATCAGGCTGATCAGCTTCCCAGGAAAGCCGTTCACGGCATTTCTGGAGGATTTGCCGTACGGTGAAGATCTGGTCCGTTGTCGATCGGCCGTCGATGAAGCCGGCTTGATAACTTCCCACGAACTCGGTCATTTTAGGTGATAGACGACGGAAGATGATCTGGGGTAGCACTTTGTAGGCGGCATTCAAAATGGTGATCGCTCTGAAGTTCTCAATCGAAAGAGCAGTGAGGAGCAAAAATAAAACAACTGGTTTATTGAGTCGTTTATCACGTCCGGTTGTATTGGTGCGATTTGTGAGAGCGTGTTAGTGAATATCCGAGGAAAATACATAACAAATCGATGTCAAACTCATTTTGACAGATATACTTTCATACAGTTTTTAGGTTAGTCAGAGGAAAATAATAAATAACTTTACACGGCAATAGATACCCAGTAGTGTGCGTGCGTTAAACGTCACTAATGTCTACACTCAAAAAATTTCACACGTTTGATCGAAGTGTTTAAACACTTGATTTTTTAAATGCACAATCACATTAACTTTAAGTGTATTTCACCTTGGTTCAATGTGTTAAACACGTTAATTTATGGTGTTTCAAACTTTGAAATGTTGAAAAATTTCACTATCTATTCAAGTGTATTGCACATTGAATCACACTACTGTTAAAAACAGATGGATTTAAAGTGTTTTGCATTTCAATACGATGCGAATTGCTTGCTCAGAAAGGTAAACATCGAAAACAAGAGTTGTGACTTTATCCTATCAACCCGCCTCATATATGAGAACAACCGTGGCACAGTGAGATCGAACGAAGTCTCCGGCAGCAGCACACCCCCAACAGTCCATGATCGAATCCCAGATCAGACCCATTAAAAAGATATGTGAAAGGGCCTCTGGAAGTTTTGTTTATATATTTTAGAGTCGGTAAAGTAGAAGTCGATAAAGTAGAATATTGTAGAATATTAAACTATGATGTGCAAAGCTATTGATATCACCATATGAGGCACATAGAATACAAGTATGTCACAATTCAAATCCATAGTGTTCAGGCATGGTTCATATGAAATGGATGTGTTTCACAATAAGCGCAAAATTAAGTGTGAGACACATGATGATGACGTGTGGAATTTTTTGAGTGTATAAGAGGAAAGATGAGTGCTAAGATGAGACTGTCCAAAGAAAAAACTTTTCATTTTCGTGTTCACTTTAAAAAATAAACACAATCCCTTTAATCCACGAGCCCCTACTCTGTATGTTAGTATATTACGCTTTTGCTGCCCCCTCAGTATAGAGTCGTTGACGTTTGTGCGCAGGGATGCCAGATTTCATTTTGAATACATTTCATATTTTGTGAAGCTTTCGAAAGAGACGACATTTGGGAATTAAAGTTGATTTTGAAGCACACAAGTGAAGATTTTGACTTCATATTTTGAGCAGCTTCTTGATAAAGGTAATTATTAACAAGGAATTAACCAGAGGGGGACAAATTTCAAAAATTTTCATAGCCTTGAAAAAAAAATCAAGTCTGAAATTTTTAATGTGTCTAAATTTTGAAATTGTTTTTAATTCTGAGATCTTAAAAATTTCAAGTGCCCTAGAATTTAGAAAATTCAATATATTCAAAAATATCAAAGTGCAAGAATCTTAAAATGCTAAGATGTCTCAGACATTTGATTTATTTCAAATTAGTAATGGTAAAATGTCCAGCATTTCGAAAATGGGTAATTCCATCTCAAGTAACCAAGCTAATGCATCGACCTTCTCCGATTTCAACCAACCAAGAAATCCTAAGCTTTATGCCAATCGGCCAACCGGCTTTGGAGACTTCCCACCAATTTTCGGTTTTACATATCTCTGGAACCAATAAAGATGCAAACAACATTGGGTACCCTTTTGGTAGCATTTTAAACGTAATCAAATTTTGTGATCATATGGATTGTGATCATCATCGTGGACGACGAAAGATCTTCGTTCGTTGATAAGAACGAAGAAGGCTGCTCTCAGAAGATTTCACTAAATTCCGCACACTGCCGCTGAAATGCTACTATGTCAGACTCAACCCCAAGTATAAGCGGTTAAGTTGTCTCTGTGCTCAACGCTATCAAAGGAGGATTCAACGGCGGCTAAAATCACACCCGAAATCCTTCTGGAATTTCATAAATGAGCAACCCAGGGAAGTCGGCTTACCCTCTTCCATGATTTTTAATGGTGGCAATCAACAAGACATTTGCAACCTGTTCTCAGCCAAATTTTCTAGTGTGTTTGAAGACGAGCAACTCTCCGCTAATCTCATTACTTCCGCGGCCAGTAATGGTCCTTTGGTCAACCAAAAGCTCAGCTTTGTCGACCCCACTACAGATACGATTTCTAGAGCAGCATCTAAACTTAAGACTTCAGCTAAGGCTGGACCCGATGGTGTTCCGTCGATTATTTTTTAAAAGAACATCACTAGTCTTTTAGATCCACTGCGCCGCATATTCCAGCTCTCTCTTTCCAGCAGCATCTTTCCATCTTGCTGGAAGACTGCGGATATGTTTCCTGTTCATAAAAAGGGAAGCAAACGCGACGTAAACAACTACCGGGGAATCACGTCGCTGAGTGCTGTATCAAAACTTTTGACGTTGGATAACGTCTTTCGGCAACATACGGGGGTACACAATTGAAAACAGTCATTTTGGATGCGTTACGAAAAATTAAAAGATTTTGAACGATAATAACTCAACCATCTCTCGATAGATTTACGAGATAATGGCATCAATCGATTCGAAATATTTCTAGCATTTTGCTGAATGTTTCAAAACTATTGATTTCATTCTGTAAACTATTGAAAAATGGTTAAAAGTAAACCATTGTCTAAAGATGGTGAAAATCGATTGATTTTTTTATATTATTATACTTTCTCCAACCGAGACATCAGATGCGAGTATCTGACACCTCTGATATTTTCTGTTCTACTATATAAGCGTCCAACAAGGTCGCCCGTTCCATCATTGTCTATCCGATCGTCGACCCAGCAGCAGAGCAGCAGATCAGCAGTACCAGAGCAGCGGAAGCAGAGCAACGGCAGCAGAGCCTGGGGGCGAAAGGGCAACTACGCCGAGTGCGTTGGTGCCAGTGTTCCGGTATACTGGGCCGCCGTCATGGAATGCCCAGCTACTGCAGTTCTCAGTCGGTCGTATTCACCGTCTGCTCCGCAAGGGCAACTACGCCGAGCGCGTTTGAAAAATGGCCCTTTTCAGGGCCACAACATTATCAAGAAAGAGTTTAACGATTAATTTTCTAATACCTTTCCGACACTTGAATATCGAAAGTTGAATCTTCGCAGAGCCATAGATTCCATTTTTATTGCATTTCTACAAAACTTATTTCAGAATCGAACTCGTCTTCACAGACTGTGTGAAGAAGAACGATGCATCATCGAGCACAACCCGTTCCGTTCCAAAATCGTCCTCATCACAACCTCCAAAACAACCATCTACCCTCTCGACATCTCGAGTGGATTTCCCGGTTCATCATACCACCTAGCGCTGTTGTACTGATTGGTAATAATATTTACCCGGAGTTCACCGCACTCGTGGTTGAAGCAAAGCGCCCGGCATGCAAACCGCTCATCAAAATCGCCATCGCCATCCGGTACCCATGCTCGGCATAACCATCATTCCAAAACCACAACCAAAACGGCCCTTTTCAGGGCCACCAATAATTCGATAAAGAGTTAGTTTACAAGACAATTTCTTTCCAGAATATCACAGTTACACTTAAATTTGGGGACTATACTGGGGTGTGGGAACGCTGGAAGGGGAGATGCTGTCTGTCTTCGAACTACCAACATCATTCCAAAGCTCCTCCAGGGCGACAGAGTA